TTTTTGAGACGGAGTTTCACTCTTGTTACCCAGGCTGGAGTGCAATGACGCGATCTCGGCTCACTGCAACCTCCGCCTCCTGGGTTCAGGCAATTCTCCTGCCTCAGCCTCCTGAGTAGCTGGGATTACAGGCACGCACCACCATGCCCAGCTAATTTTTTGTATTTTTAGTAGAGACGGGGTTTCACCATGTTGACCAGGATGGTCTCGATCTCTTGACCTCGTGATCCACCCGCCTCGGCCTCCCAAAGTGCTGGGAATACAGGCTTGAGCCACCGCGCCCGGCCCTGAAAAGTTTTATTTTCCTTTATTTACTTCAACCAACCAGCTATTTTTCAATGAAATTTTTCCTTAAGAATAAAACATGTTTTTAAGAAAATTATGGAAGAATTGCTAAACAACTTGATTATTTCTATTAAAAACAAATTGGAAAGTGTTAACATTTTATCCTTATTATGAAAAACTTCTTTGAATTTGAGTTTTAAAAATTGTTACTGTTTTGTGAGACATTTAGATCTCAAATGTTATAATTATAACTTCTATATACTTAAAGACAGAATATTTAGAAAACGAAAACTTGGTCTAAAGCCATAGCTCTTCCTAGGTTTCCATCACAGAAGAGTTAGTTAGTGTAATTTAAGATATATGGTCCTTTATGACCTTTATTATAGTTAGAAGATGAGGAATCGGGCTGGGCGAGGTGGCTCACACCTGTAATCTCAGCACTTTGGGAGGCTGGGCGGGCATATCACGAGGTCAGGCATTCAAAACTAGCCTCACCAACATAGTGAAACACGGTCTATACTAAAAATATAACAATTAAGGCCAGGCATGGTGGCTCACGCCTGTAATCCCAGCACTTGGGAGGCTGCAGTGGGCGGATCACAAAGTCAGGAGAAAGAGATCATCCTGGCTAACATGGTGAAACCCTGTCTCTACTAAAAATACAAAAAAATTAGCTAGGCATGGTGGCCGGCGCCTGTAATCCCAGCTACTCCAGAGGCTGAGGCAGGAGAATTGCTTGAACCCAGGAGGCGGAGGTTGCAATAAGCCTAGATCACATCACTGCACTCCAGCCTAAATCTTGGTGCCAAATATAGTTACAACATGCATCTATTAAGAGATTAAACAGGGGCCGGGCGCCTTGGCTCACGCCTGTAATTCCAGCACTTTGGGAGGCCGAGGCGGGTGGATCACGAGGTCAAGAGATCGAGACCATCCTGGTCAACATGGTGAAACCCCGTCTCTACTAAAAATACAAAAAATTAGCTGGGCATGGTGGTGTGTGCCTGTAATCCCAGCTACTCAGGAGGCTGAGGCAGGAGAATTGCCTGAACCCAGTAGGCGGAGGTTGCGGTGAGCCGAGATCGCGCCATGGCACTCCAGCCTGGGTAACAAGAGTGAAACTCCATCCCAAAAAAAAAAAAAAAAAAAAGAGAGAGATTAAACAATTAATAAACCATATACTCTCAGAGTCATTCTGCCATTGTCGTCCTTTCTAGAACTGTTCAGTTACAGGAATTATGATAGGAAATAAGGATTTTCTGCACAGATAAGTTTGTTTTCATAGTAGTAAAATAAATGCCTGTTTACCTTTGTTTTCTGCTAACATTACTTATATTCAGATTTTTAATCTTTTCTTTTTTTAGGGGGTAATAAAGTTTTAAATAGACATTGAGCACTGGGTAAGGGAATGCTTTTCCTGGCAGTTCAGTTAGTGAGGGAGAAGGGAAGAAGCCTCAGCTGCAGTAGTGTTGTATTAAGTTTTTGTGATGTGTAGTAATGTGGAAGTCATCCCTTGGAATCAGTAGCGTTTCTAACTCTTTCACATGGTGTAGCACAGAAATAACTTGCAGCAAACTTTTGTGCACCATAATGATTTTATATGTGTATTTAAAACAATATATGTTTTGTTTTACAAACAAATTTTTCATTATTATTTGCCTCTAGTTTTTGCTGTTAAAAAAGCATACTGGTTTCATGCCTGTAATCCCAGGACTTTGGGAGGCTGAGGAGGGAGGATTGCTTGAGCCCAGGAGTTCTAGATCATCCTGGGCAACACAGTGAAACCTTGACTCTACAAAAAAATAAAAAAATTATCCAGGCATAGTGGTGTGTGCCCATAGTCCCAGCTACTTGTGAGGCTGAGGTGGAAGGACTGCTTGAGCCCAGGAGGGCAAGGCTGCAGTTAGCTATAATTTTACCACTTGCCTGAGCAACAGAGCAAGACCCTCTGTCAAAAAAAATGTGACCCTGTGACACAAAAAAAATATGTCCTGGTTTTCCCACATCAATGAAATAATCAGCTCCTTAGCCCAGTTTTCCAGGTTGCATGCTGTCATGTTATAATCCCAGCTGCTCGAGAGACTAAGGGAGGAGAATTGCTTGAACCTGCAAGGCAGAGGTAGTAGTGAACTGAGATTGTTTCATTGCACTCCAGCCTGGGTGACAGAGCAAGACTCCATCTCAAAAAAAAAAAAAAGAAATTATGGGAAGCACTGTACCTCTACATCTGGTCACTCGGGAGCTTATTGTGTAAGGGCATCTTCAGGGAGAAGTATGCTGCTGTTGACTAATTCTTCAAATTTTGGAAATGGATTTTCACAGTTTCAATGCCAGAGTCTGATCAATTCAAGTGTGTTGAGAGGAACACAGGGACAGGTATGGTGGCTTATGCCTGTAATCCCAGCAATTTGGGAGGTTCAGGCTGGAGGACTGTTTGAGGCCAGGTGTTCAAGACCAGCCTGGGCAACATAGCGAGACCCTGGCTCAATTTTTTAAAAAAGAAAAAATTAATTAATTAATTAAAAAGAGAGAAACCAAGAAGACAGGGCTTGAGATAGGATTTTCAGTTATTAAAATCTTTACTTTTTAATTTATACTTCTACAAATTCTATTCATTGATGAGATGTGGGAGAGATGCCCAATAAATATATTTTAATGAAATTTTCATTATTATGCATTAACCTATTCTTTTGGGGAGATAGAAAGATTTGATTACCTTTAAACTTCCTTTCTAGTGTCGAAAGAACTGCAAACAATACAAAGAATGCTCGATTAAGAGTAATTCATAGGGCATAGACCACAGTTTTTTTAAGAGTTCAGAATAGAGAAGATAATCAGGACTGAAATCGAGATGTCTTTTTGATACAATTTGTCCGAGTGGTTTGCATAGTTTTAAGTGTTAGGTTGAATTGAATGGAGGTGATTGCTTTAGGAGAAGGCCAGAAGATTAGATGTGCTTTTCTCTCCAATTTGAAATACCTCCTCTATTTGAGGACTCCCAGGAGCAATTGTTCAGGCACACAAGGTGGGGCCATTTCATAGTGGCTAACAAATCTGTTTGAATCCCAGAATTTTTCATGGTAAGCATCAGAGACTTTAAAGTACAACTAGAACCAGCAGAGAGAAGGGAGGGGGAAGAGATAGATAATGTGTTTAAGAAAGAATAAATGGCTACTCACCTACTTTGGGTGATCCAAAATTATTACCAATTTTTGTTTCTAAGGAGTTTTAGGCAGGGTGCTGTGGCTTATGCCTGTAATCTCAGCACTTTGGGAAGCTGAGGCAGGAGGAGCGCCTGAGCCCAGGAGTTTGAGACCAGCCTAGACAACATAGATCTCATCTCTATCTCCCCCTACACCCCCAAGAAAAATTAGTGGGCATGGTGGTCCATGCCTGTGGTCCCATTTACTCAAGAGGTTTGAGGTAGGAGGATTGCTTGAGCCCAGAAGGTTGAGGCTGCAGTCGGCCTTGATCGTACCACTGTACTTCAGACTGGGTGACAGAGTGAGATCGTGTCTGGAAAAAAAAAAACTTTGAGCTTCTTGAAAAGAGGAATTAGGTTTTATCCATATTTTTCCTCCATCTCCATGGTAACAAGTATATATAGTAAGTAGTCAATAACTCATAAATCTATTCATTTAAAAATTCAAGGGAAATTTAAAGCTCGTTTGAAGGTTTTTTTTTTCTTTTAAATTGTTAAAAAACAGATAACATAGCTGGGTGCAGTGGCTAGCACCTGTAATCGCAGCACTTTGGGAAGCTGAGGCCAAGAGTTGAGACCAGCCTGGGCAATATAGCAAGACCCCATCTCTACCAAAAACAATTTTTTTAATTGCCTGAGCTTGGTGGCACACACCTGTAGTCCCAGCTACTAGGGAGGCTGAGGTGGAAGGATCACTTGAGCCCAGGAGTTGAAGGATGCAGTGAGCTGTGCACTCCATTGCACTCCAGACTAGGTGACAGAGCGAGACATTGTCTCTGTTAAAAAAAAAAAATATTACCCTTTCTAAAACACATAACATAAAATTTAGCATCTTAACCATTTTTAAGTGTACAGTTCTGTATGTTAAGCATATTCACATTGTTGGTGCAAAGTCCATCTGTTTTAAATGATTAGTGTCTTTTCTCCAAAAAAAAAAAAAAAAAAAAAAAATGAAGCCTTATTCTGTTTCCAACATTAAGAATTGAGTTTGTTTCATAACTGGCTGTTTATTTCCTACTGTCAGATTCTATAGTGTGCAGGTATTGTGCTGGTTTATCTCACATATCTCTTTCTGTAGTACCCATATAATTTAACCTAGAATATATCCACATTTATGGCATATTGAGGCAATTTATGACAGACTTCTTTAACTGTACTAAACCTTTGGTATAAGTAACCACTCAAGAAAGCCCTGTCGCTCTGGTGTAAACAGTAATGCCTCCTTGTTATTTTATAGACGAGGCATCGCATGTAATTTCTGGGCTTATGTTTTTGTAAGTTCTTTGCACTGACTAATTTACTGTCCACTTTCCTTTTTATTTGAGTTTAGGACTCTTAACATACCTAACATGCAATCACCCACTGAAATTTGAAGCCTGGTCTTATTGGGATTTTTTTGTCAAAGGTTGAAAAATTATTTTGACCCATGCAAGGCTTTTGCCAACAAAAGTTACAGTCCTTGGGGCCCCAGTGCCAATATCTTGTCACTGAATAGATTGGAGAATAGGGCATGCGTACTCTGGAATGAAGTCTGTGGCAGGATATAAAATTGTACTTTCGGACTGGGTGCAGTGGCTCACGCCTGTAATCCCAGTACTTTGGGAAGCCAAGGCAGGCGGATCACAAGGTCAAGAGATTGAGACTATCCTGGGCAACATGGTGAAACCACATCTCTACTAAAAGTACAGAAATTAGCTGAGCATGGTGGTGCATGCATGTAATCCCAGCTACTTGGGAGGCTGAGGCAGGAGAATCGCTTGAACCTGGGAGGCAGAGGTTGCAGTGAACTGAGATTACACCACTGCACTCGAGCCTGGGCAACAGAGCAAGACTCTGTATCAAAATAAATAAATAAAATAAAATAAAATTGTGCTTTATAAACTGAGTTCATTTTTGTACTCATTTTCTTATCACATTTTGTTCTCCCTTAGTATTGTATGTGGCAGATAAGTGATTGTTAGTATTAAAAAATAAAAAATCTGAAAAAAAGATAATGTTGACAAGGTAGCTGAAGGAAACAACACAAAGGAAGCACTACTGATGAGAATTATTATGAACAATTATTTATTATAGAAGCAGAGGATGTGTTTAATTCAGAATAAAGCAAGAGTGAATGATAGTTGTCTTTTGTAGCATTTCAACTGTTTGTTTCATAACCTTTTGGCAGCTTTGTAATAGAATGTAGTTCAAAATTTTTATTTTTCTGTGAAATACATTTAGTCATAGGTGTAGCCCAGAAGTGGTGCCTGAACTTTCTTGGTTACATTGTATAAGACCTATTTGATGATTTGGCTGATTCTTTGGTCACAGACAAAAGTTTAGCTCCTGGGGAAAATGAATGGGGTCTAATATTTCCTGTCTAGAAGGTTCGATCAGTACATTTAGTCAACCAACAAATATTTACCGACCGAACATTACCTTCTAGTTGTACCAGCTGTAAATACCATAAGACATGATAAGACATGGCTCCTGACCTTCAGGCTTACTTTCTGTTCCCTTAAGTCTTGCTTTTTTTTTTAACTGCTGTAAATCTTTGAGGTTTCCTCAAAGCCAAGGGTGATGTTTTCTACTTCTGTGTCCTCCTTTCATGCTTAAATTAAGTATGTGATCAGTCTAAATATTGAATTAAAAATTGTTTCAACCTCCTTGTGAGTAGGGAGTCTCACTAATTTTTGTGTAAAAGTACTTGGTGCAGGGTATAATGGCATTTGGTTAATGTTTGGAAATATAAGATCTCAGTTTGAGTTTGGCACTACCATTTTCTGTAAGTAAAGGAACAAGGTACCTATTACTGAATTATTTTTCTCAGCAATAAATGGCAATTAAAATCTCAGCTGCTTATCTTCTTAAAGAGTAGTTATGAAGACAAAGTAAGTGAACTCACATTATACAAGCTGTAAATATGCCATATATGCTTGTTTATTAACACCTATTTGTGGTACATAGTTATTTTAACTGAATTAGAGATAATCCATCCTTAGGACTTTCAAGATTAACAATAGTAGTCATCAGTATGCTTTATATGTGATAGATTCTGGACTTTGTGCTTTTGATGTTATATGTGTTTTAGGGCCCCTAAATCCCTAATTTTGGTGTCTGTTTCACTAATTCTGCGCTCACTAGTCATCTCTACTTGTGAGTCTAACTTCTGAAAAATCTAACATCTAGAAAGAGCCTCACTCAATAGCGGTGTCAGGACAACTGAATAACAGCCCAGAAATTTAAAAGTTGGATCCCCATTGTTGTTCCTTACCCCACATAGATTCCAGATGAATGAGAGGGTTAAATGTAAAAAATGAAATCATAAAATTATTAGGATGAACAGTGGTAGAATTATTATCTTAAAAATAATATTTGAATAAGAAAAGCTTTTCTAAGCTTAACCCACAACTTAGAAGCCATTAAGTAAAGGATAAGGCCAGGCAGAGTGGCTTACACCTGTAATCCCAGGACTTTGGGAAGCCAAGGTGGGAGGATCACTTGAGGCCAGGAGTTCAAGACCAGCTTGGGCAACAACAAGACCCCATCTCTACAAAAAAATTAAAAAATAGATTACCTTGGCATGATGGCATGCACCTGTATTACTAGCTATTTGAAGGCTGAAGCAGGAGGATCCTTTGGCTCCAGGAGTTTGAAGTTGCAGTGAACTGTGATCTTGCCACTGTACTCCAGCCTGGGCAACAGAGCCAGCCTCTCTCACAAAAGGAAAGGATAAATTTGGCTATTTTTCATCATAAACAAAGTCAACAAACCTACTGGGGAAAATATCTCTAATATCTCACTTTAGGCAAAGAACAACTTTCCTTCAGGTATTATCAGTTTGAGAAAGACCAGAGCAAGCTTGGTAAAATTATGGGGAAATAGATACTTATATCATAGCCATGAGAATAAAAATTGGGGAAAACCACTACTGAGAACAACTTGGATTACTTAAAAGGTAAAATCAATGGATTCATGAATCCAGCAATTATTATTATTATTATTTTTTTTAGACAGAGTCTTGCTTTGTTGCCCAGGCTGGAGTACAGTGGCATAATCACAGCTTACTGCAGCCTTGATCTCATGGGCTAAAGTGATCCTCCTGCCTTAGACTCATGAGTAGTGAGGACTACAGGTGCATGCCACCATGCCTGGCTAAGTTTTAAGAAATATTTTGTAGCCACGAAACCTGAACCCTATGTTACCCAGGCTGGTTTCAAACTCCTAGGCTCATGTGATCCTCCCACCTTGGAATCCCACAGTGCTGAGATCCCATCATGCCTGGCCTTGTTACTTGTGTTACTATTCAAAAAATATAATTGTTTTAGAAAACACCTAAAGAAGGCAAAATGAAAGCAGAGTAGGGTTGGGGGTATTTCTTTGGTTTTATTTATGTATACCTCCTTCCCAGTCTTGTTTCAGTTAGGAAATAAATGGTGAATACAGTAGGGTAAGGCCTGCATTACAATTAATTCATGCAATTAACAAAATTTTTAATAAAATTATTAAGCATTTCTTCTTGGTTACTAATTAATATGATTGTTAACATTCCCTCCTGTGTAATAATAACGTGTACCTTCCTTTTGTTGATACTGAAGCAGCTTTTAGAAAGTTTTGCTAGTTTTGTTTGGAATGTATCTCCAGACATTTCACGCATCTTTTTCAGAACATTGTGTTAAGTTTTGGGATTGAAATAATTAAATGTAAAAATTTTACTTTATAAAATCATTAGCCAAAAAATATGTTGAGAGGGATGAACATTTGGTGTAGCTTGGAGAGTAAAACTGAGGTATTTTATTGTGAAATATTAAAATGGTGCATTCTGTGGGTATTCAGGAGTGTGCCTGCATATTTATGTTTGTATTTGCTTGACCATGAAGATAAAAATTTTTGTAAAGATAGACTCTGAAGGGAAACTGAGTTGCATTTTACTATATTTTTAAAATTTGGGCTGGGCATGGTGGCTCATGCCTGTAATCCCAGCACTTTGGGAGACTGAGGTGGGCGGATCATTTGAGGTCTGGAGTTCAAGACCAGCCTGGCCAACATGGTGAAACCCATTCTCTACTAAAAATACAAAAATTAGCTGGGTGTGGTGGCACACTCCTATAATCCCAGCTCCTCGGGAGGTTGAGACAGGAGAATCACTTGAACCTGGGAAGTGGAAGCTGCAGTGAGCCAAGATTGTGCCACTACATTCCAGCCTGTGCGACAGAGCAAGACTCTGTCTCAAGAAAAAAAGAAAAGAAATTGGTATAATGTATTTGTGTTACTATTCAAAAAATATAATTATTTTAGAAAAGGCCCAAAGAAGGCAGAATGAAAGCAGAGTAGGGTTGGGGGTATTTCTTTGGTTTTGTTTATATATACCTCCTTCCCAGTCTTGTTTCAGTTAGGAAATAAATGGTAAATACAGTAGGGTGAGTCCTACGTTACATAAGTCTCAACTATGTTTAGACTACATTTTATGACTAAAGGAAAATTAGACCTTTTTTTTAATCTTTCTTTTTTTTTTTTTTTTTTTTTGAGATGGAGTCTCGCTCACTCTGTCTCCTAGCCTGGAATGCAGTGTCTCGACCTCAGCTCACCGAAACCTCTACCTCCTGAGTTCAAGCGATTCTCCTGCCTCAGCCTCCTGAGTAGCTGGGATTACAGGCATGCGCCACCACACTCAGCTAATTCTTGTATTTTTAGTAGTGGCAGGTTTTTACCATGTTGGCCAGACTGGTCGTGAACTCTTGACCTCAGGTGATCCACCCACCTCAGCCTCCCAAAGTGCTGGGATTACAATGGTGTGAGCCACTGTGCCCAGCCCCCATTTTTACTTTTATACAGTAAAAGTATATTTTTGCTTTTATACCTTTTCCATGTTTACATACACAAATACTTGCCATTGTGTTACAATTATCTTCAGTATTCAGTACAGTAACATACAGTACAGGTTTGTAGCCTAGGAGTCACAGGCCATACTATATAGCATAGGTGTGCTGTAGGCTATACCACCTAGGTTTGTGTAAGTAAATGCTGTGATGTTAGCACAATGGTGAAATCACCTAATGACACATTTCTCAAGCTTCTCCTCACATGGCAAGCAACACATGACTGCATATAAAAGCTCTTAAATAAGGATTACGTTTCTAAATTAATCTCTAAAAGAAAACAGTCATTATTTACTATATATGGAATGTTTTTTTTTTTTTTAGACGGAGTTTCGCTCTTGTTACCCAGGCTGGAGTGCAATGGCGCGATCTCGGCTCACCACAACCTCCGCCTCCTGGGTTCAGGCAATTCTCCTGCCCCAGCCTCCTGAGTCGCTGGGATTACAGGCACGCGCCACCATGCCCAGCTAATTTTTTGTAGTTTTAGTAGAGATGGGGTTTCACCATGTTGACCAGGATGGTCTCGATCTCTTGACCTCGTGATCCACCCGCCTCGGCCTCCCACAGTGCTGGGATTACAGGCTTGAGCCACCGCGCCCGGCCTGGAGTGTTTTTTTAAAAAGGACCAAAAGTTTTTCATTTCAGTGGGAATTTAATTTGGGGCTAGGGTGTTTTATTTAACTTTCTTCCCAAAGTTGTAAAGTGTTTTGAAGTTTTTCCCTGTACAATACTTATTTTAATTCAATTTAAATGAAACCCACCAAAGAAACTTCAAGCTTTAAGAAGTCTAGCTTCCTGTGAAATGTGAGAGGAAGTCAGCACTGATCTCAGAAATCCACTTATAACAATAGGTCCATCCCTAAATGAGGTGATTCTTGGAATCCCTTCAGTTTTCTTTTTCACTCCGATCCCTTCAATTTTCAATTTAATTTAATTTTTTTGAGATGGAGTTTCGCTCCTGTTGCACTCCAGGTAGGAGTGCAATGGCGTGATCTTGGCTCACTGCAGCCTCCACTTCCCGGGTTCAAGTGATTGTCCTGCCTCAGCCTCCCAAGAAGGTGGGATTACAGGCATGCACCGCCACTCCCGGCTAATTTTGTATTTTTAGTAGAGACGGAGTTTCACCAAGTTCATCAGGCTGGTCTCCAGCTCCTGATCTCAGTGAGCTGCCCACCTCGGCCTCCCAAAGTTCAGGGATTACAGGTGTGAGCCACGGGTCCCAACCCCACTTCAATTTTAAAACCCTCACTATGCACCATATGTGTATGCTAGGCACTGGTATAAGATGAAGCACCTTCTTGGAATTTACATACTGTTAATTGTGCCAGTCAGTCAGTAATAAAATAGCTGGATTCTAGTTACAGTCGTATTTCAGGAACTTGTTTTACATGCTGAGTTTAACAACCTAAGCCACTTCTCCATGTGTGCACACAGGGTAGACCTCTGAAGGGTGGCACTGTAACTTCTAGGGTAATGTGTTAATTCAAGGCAGGATGACATTCAGCCTCTTCCGCAGGCTAGTGCAACAGGCTCTTCACTTGGATTAGAGCCTTCTCTCCTACACTGAATTCCCCACCCCCAACAGCCTCCTACAGAAAATTTGGAGTCCTCGCTTATTCTCTGGCAGCCCTTACCCAATAGGGTGGTGAATTAAAATTACCAGACATGCAACAAAAGATACAAAAAGTTTAGGAAAAATGGCAACATTTTGGAATAAACGATTATAATGTGCGTTCTGCCTGCTACCTTAACTGGAGCACATTTTGCAGGTCAGTTACTCTCCCTGGAAGGAAGACTATTCTCAGATTTCACCTTGGAGAAGGAAGAGTTCAGGCTGCCGGAATTGGGCCAGCGCTTCTGAATATCCAGAGGCGAGGTCCTGTGACTTCCTTGGGAAGCTCTGCCTCGCCCCCACCCCACCACAACAGCCTGCTGGAGTCCTGGGACCACCCAGGTCTGCGGCAGAAATCCTTCCTCGCTAAGGGGAGGGAAGGATTGTACCAGCAGGGTGGGGTGGGAAGAGGGGCTTGGGCGGAATTGTGAGATAAGATCACCCTGGTGACGTGGAGCAGATCAGATCTAGACGGAAGCCTAATAAAGGGGGCGTAAATAAAGGTGTCATAAAGGACGGGGCGGGGCGTGTGCTTGTCAGAAACGCAAGCCTCTAGGGGCTGCCAGAAT